CCCATGGTGTGGAGCACATGCTTTCTGAGGAAAATATCTATTACAGTGACAACTGTGGAGGCTTGGACTCAATTTTCTATGTATCTCCATGAAAATTTCAGGCAAGAGTTTTACAGGAAGATGATCCTTCTTTTGTAAACATCTATCAGATACATTCAATACAATCAAATGCAAATGGACACTTCCTCCACCTCTTTATAAGTTTCTATAGATTAAACTTTAGTCTTTCTTCAGGCATTGCCTGAGTGGTACTTTAAAGCCAACAAAAGAAATTTCTAAAAATTTATTAACATCTAATCAAAGATTGACCCTATCAAATTATGTAGTCTGTAATTTTTATTAAATCAAATCTTTAACTCTTGTACTCTGTAGGAAAAGAAAGGAAAAAGGACCACAGTACTTTCTATCAATAAAACTTTAGTACAACAGGAAGCAGAAAAGAATGTTGAAGTAATATAATTGGATTGAAAACATGTGGCTGTTTACAAATGTGCCAGAAGTCCAGACAACTTTAATAGTGAATGAGCTCTCATTTACAGCTTTCCTCAACAAAGAAATAAAAGTAACTTCCACAATAATAAACAAGTCTGGGTAAACAGTAAGAATAAATGAGTGGCAGTAACTTCCTGCTACTCTTTCTTTTCTGGTACCTTTGGTAACAACAAGCCAACGTGCAACTCCAAAGTCACTGAACAGAGTGGGAGGACTTGGTGAGCACTGAGCCAGACCCTGGGTCCAGTTCCTCCCTCTAAAATGAAAATCTTTTTTCTAAGAAAACAAAAGATAATAGTTAAAACAAAAAATTCACCTCCAGGGTACTTCTTTTTCACATGTACCTTGGGCGGATGCAGAAGGATGAAAATTAACCTCAAGAAGGAAATTCTTTTAGACATCTGAAAGACCTGAAATCTCATTATTGCTTAGCCCTCAAAAAGGGTTTATAAAGGAAATAAACATAAACACAGTGTGAACTGAATAGAATGATAGACCATCAGCATGACTTTTTAATAAAAAAATATTTAGGTTCAATAATCAATGATATGGACGCTGATTATATAAAAATCCCAAATAACTGGATCACCATGCTAAGCTTTGTGGATGTCAATGACTAAGAATATTCTGCCATTGTCTTGTGCTTGTTTGACTCATTAATGAAACAAGGAAACATTAAAAAAAATCAGGGAATCATAGCATCCTTCATTCACTCTGCTAACTTGAAAGCAACCCAGAGGTTGTCATGCTGTCTAAATGGCAATAATTATTGTTCTAAAGAGAGAAAAAAGCTCAGTTAAATTTCCTGGGGTTTCCATTAACAGCATCCATGCTTTTATTCAAGCCAGCAAATGACTTTGTTCTCAAAGAACATCTAAGAATGTCAACTTGCAATCTAGAATAAGTGAGGGGTGGGGGATTATATATATATATGTATAAAAGGTAACTGACTTCTATTTTAATATCCGCTCCAAAATGGACTTTTAAATATTTAACACTTCCAAAAAAGGTGAGTCTTGGTAGTTGCTTGGTGTATCACATTTTCTTTCTTCAAACACTTGGAAAAAAATCAGGTTTCTATCAATATTATTAGTCATTGCCCAAAAGTGCTTCCAGGGATAGTTGCCACACCATGTCTGTAAAAATTAAAATCTTCAAACCTCAGTATTTTAAGTTTCAGTATTTTAAGTAAAGAGATTGTATGTAGAAATGTATCCTATTGAGTTACTGAGGCCAAACTTTTTATTAAAAACAAAAATTGTTATTTTTAGACCAATTAAATAAATTCTTTAGTCATCCTGCGTTGATATTGTAAAAAAATCCCATGTAAATAAATCACATCTGATATTTTTATAATTAAAGGTAATTACTGATCTTAATTTAAAATATTTAATTTAAAAAATCACACAGCTTCAATCACTGCTCAGTTTAGGCATCAAGACTCACTTGAAATGAATCAACATACTAGCAAACAACAATTTATGGATGACTTACCATTTTTAAGGACATTCTTGCACCAGCCTTTACTTCAGTCTGTCTGCTTCAAATAAGTCCCATAAGATTTTAGGGTCAAGATTTGTCCTTAAAGTGGCCAATTCAGAGCTGTTTAGACTATATTTTTAAATCAATTCAGTAAGATGTTTCAGATAGGAGCCTTCATAGACAGCACTGGGAGGATGATGCAACCTCTAAACTTCCACAGGCTAAATCAATGGCAGGGATCTGGCTAGGAGCAGCAATTTTGCCTTAGTAAAAATGTCACCTTGTAATTACAGAGCTTTTACAGAAAACCACAGACTTTTTAAATAGTTGTGAGTTTTAAGGCTTTTGGGGGGGAAAAAATGAAAAAAAAAAAAGAAAAAAAATTAAATGTGGAGAAGAGGAGGAAATGGAAAAAAAAAAAAAAAGAAAAAAGAGGATAAAAAATTACTTTTCTAAGGGACACAGCTATCTGAGAAAATAAACTGCTTGAGATGAAAGCTATGTTTCTACAGATGCTCCTGCCTTTGTTTTCACCACCTTTCGTATCTGCACAGTCATTTGACTCCCTAGGGTGAAAGCTAGGGCAATCTGCTGAAGAACATACATCTAGTCCTGTCCTGTGCTCCTATTTATTTACTGGAAGTGGATCCCTGTCAAAAGATGTAATGGAGCATTGCAGTGCTGCAGCCCAGAGAGGCTCCTGACCTGGGGCAGAGCATCCTCCTCGAGGAGGATTGGTCTGACCCCAAAGTTTCCACATCAGAGAGGAGACATCCCTTTACCGCACAACCTGCCAGGCAAAGGCAGAATAGAACATCCTCAATGGTCTGAAGGAAAATTGGCCATATTACATGGAAGAAAGAGCTTTTTCTGTGAGCAGGTAAAAAACCCAGCCCTACCAGGAAAAAAAAAAAAAAAAAGTAATTGCAGCTTGGTTTAGTTTTCTTGTTTGAATTGGTGTTAGGCATTTGCTGTGCTTTTTTCTCCCTACTAATTTCCTGTCAGGATTGGCAGCCAATGACTCACTTGCATTCACAGATGAGTATCACCAAAACATTAGTCTACAGCTCCTCTTCTCAATACTTTGATTTAATCACACAAAGCAACCCCCACACTGACCCCATGAGTGCAGCATTATTCAAAGCACTAGGCAAAAGCAAGGCCAGGTATCTCCCCCTGATATCTGCAGATATTGCCATAATGGAATATCTCTGAAATCAGATATTCTAAGTCTTCACAGCGACTCCCAGAGTTCAAGGCAAAGAAATAGTGAGTAGCCATGCAAAAGGACTGTCATCTCCCCAAAAACTGAAGGAACATGATGAGCAGGGCAGTGTTGGAGAGCTCATGTCTGGAGAGCCAAGCCAGTGGGTCTGCCAGTTTTCTCATGCCCAGGGAGAAAGCCTCTGTGGTTCATTTTCTGATCAGCAATGTTGAATCTATTTCCTATGTACTACAGAATATGCAGGATTCAATGGGCAGACACAAATTAGAGAAAGCAATTCAGGGTCCTTAGGTTGCACTTTTAATCTCAAGATTCCACACACACCCTTGTGGTTCCACCTCAGCACATATGTAATACATGTTTACATAGCAAGAACCATGTAAACAAGCATTACATATGTTACTGAGAAGCTGAGGAGGGTTTTTCCTGCAGCTGACTTCCTGCCTACCAAATTACGGTGAATGGCTAAAATCCTTAATATTTGACACCAGAAATTGCCATGCAAACACCAACCTGGCTGACAACTTCTCTAATAGGCAAATCAAAAGTAAATGAGAAAAAGGGAAGACAAGTGACCCAATGAAGAACCAACAGTTTGTCATTTGGGATGTTTTATTAGGCAGTTTGACAAATTTCCTGCTGGTAACTGATTAAATTTACATTCTCTATTTTTAATCTTTAATTTATTTCATACTCAAATATGATTGTTAGCCATTAATCAATAAGGTTTAAAGTGCTCATGATTAATGACCAGTGCTTTCAGTATAAATAAGAGATTCTGTGATGCTGGGATTTATCTGGCTCTAGAGATTGCAGGATTGCTCTGAGTGCTCATTCCTTAGTTACAATAAAGCGGGACTGGGAGAATTAATGAGATTCTGTGCCAGTGCTGTGCTAAAATGAAATGGGAGCAGCTACTTAAGATCTGCACGATATAATGACAAAAAAGAAACCAACGGGTTAACAAGACTATGCTAACAAGTAATGCTGGAGAAATTAATGAGCGCTATAGACAAGCAGGAATTTACAGCATCTATAGGGCAAAAAGAACGGAGGCAGGCTGATGAAATGACGACCCAGGGCCGTGGCGGTTCTGTGAGGATGCGAGGAGAGCCTCTCGGTCCGAGGGAGAGCCGGGGGTGACGGAGCCCGGCGGGGCAGGGGCCGGGAGCTTCAGGCGGGGCAGCAGCAGCCAAAGGGTTAACCAGACGCCTCCGTGCACTGAGACGCTAATTGTCAAGATAGTGTATTACTTGAGGAAAGTAATTTGATTACTCGAAACTCCCACTAAGGAGGCAGGCTGGTGTCCTTCCATCTGTCGGGCTCAGGGAAAGATGCTGAATTGAGCTCGGAATTCACGTGTGATGAAGTCGCTGTCAATCCCCGCCAGCCCAGCCCGCTGCCATGCCCACCGCGCACAGGGTAGCACCGCAATTCAACTTTCCCTGGGAAACCCAGGAGGCTCAGTAACCTGTTACTTGCTGCTGCTTGCTTTTGGCTTTTTTTTTTTTTTCTTCCCTTCTTCTTCTTCTTTTTTTCCCCTCCCCATTTTCTGCCTCAGCGCTACAACTGAGTCATTCCCGTGCCCATGGCTCGTGGGTATTCCGGGCTCCCACCGCGCTCGCCTCTGTTCCCCACTCCAGCTGCCGCTGGCATTTTCGGCTAATGCAGATGTGGGGCTCGCTCGCCGGCGCTTTGTAGCCACTTGCCGAGAAGCATTCGGAAAGCCTTAACTATGCATAAATCTGCAGAGTGAATGTTTTCTTTCATTCACTTGCTCCTATTATTTGATTTCTTGTAGGCCTCTGCGGCAGAAATGGAGAAAATAAGGTAAGTGAGACAGTTTATTTACATCTCATTATAGAGAGGAAATGTTCTGTTGCACAATGCACAATACAGGCTCTTGGAAAATATTTTGCTTAATACCATCAGAGTAGAATACTGGATTGTATGATGATGCAAGGCAAGCTGTGCTTTAGAGACAAAAGAAGAGGAATGTGGTTGTTCTAGTAAATCCGTTTTGCAGGGATGTCAATTCAGAAAGCATGTTTTACACACAAACGTTTTATTGCCAGATGCAGAGCATATTTGATTATATAAATGTTGTAGCCACTTGTCCATTTACTGCAAGAGCCTGCCATTCCATTTAATGAGGAAAGTGGATCAATAATTCATGAAAAAGCTGAAGAAAATATAGGCTTGACTTCAAAGCATCTAATTAATGTGGTTTGTTTCAATATAGCACTGTAACATTGGTGTTCGATTTTTGTTTTATACTGTATACCAGCCAGATAAATCTCGTCTCCTCTGTGTTTAAAATGTTGTCATACTGTACCAGTTTCTCAGCACATCTCTTTGCTTTAAGCAAAAGGAGATGGGTTTTATAACATAAGTTTTCCATCTCATGTCCTAGTGCAAGTCTGCTTTGGGGGATATTGCTTTTGTGTATGTTGATGAGAAATAAAAAGAAAGAAGAAAGCATTCTAGCCGTTTTTAATAAATGAATTAAAAATTACTAAAACCTTGTCTACTAACACATTATCAAAGTGATAGGTAAGAGATGAACTTTTTTCTACCGTTGAAATACTTTATGGAACTTCTTTTCATAATCAAATACACTGGCCAGCATCTTGGTTTTATTGGACAAGCCTAAATTCCTTCTCTGAATCTGGTAACTCTGGTTAGTGAAAACTCTTGTCCAAGAAAAACTTTTTAGATTCCTTCAATTTGGAATGGCTATCCTGAGTTATTAGAAATACTGAGAAGTTCTGAAATTCAAGAAATAGCTGGGCAAATGCAAAACAACAGAAATTTGATCAAGTGTTTAATGAATTTTGGGCTGGAAACAGAATCCTGTTTTTCTTTTGAGGCAAAGGAGGTTAAGTCTCTTACAGTGGACTTGAAGCTGCATGTCCAAAAGTTACTAAGAATGTATTTTTAAAGCACTTAACTTATACACTTTTGTAGAGCCTCATGGCAACAGAAGTATTGTAACTTTTGTGCTGAAAGAAATCCACTGTGCAATGTGTTATGGATTTTCATGTATTTAAGTACTATAATGTTAAAGCTGTGAGTTTTTCCTGAGTAATGCCTGACAAAGTGTCTCAGTATATGAACTGGTGTCTAATAAAAATTCCAAACAATCACATGTATGCACACTTCTGTCATGAATGACTCTCTTGGAAGATGCAAGTGAATATAAATTTACATCTTTGCTTGATAAGCATGTGTGCACAAATGAGTCTAATCCTTGTAATGCTTTCCTGAGCATGCCATGGCCTCTGCTTTTAGTCTTGCCTCTTTTGCAATAATGGGTTACAGAGCCCAGGAGAATGAGCAGAATGTAGTGAAAAAAAAACCCAAGAATTTTCTATAATGAGAATAAACATTCATAAAGTTCCATTTTTCAAACAGCACGATTTTGCAGCTGTCAGGCTTGCCAGTCTTTACCTCAGTACTCCCTGAGTACTACACAGATGGAAAAGTCGACCCTGCCCCACTGAAATGAAGCAGGAGCTTCACTATTAACTGCACAGAGAGAAGGGTCAGGCTCTCTCAGGCATTTGCTAAAGAAATTTTGTGTTAAAAATTCTTGTGTGCAAAGGTTGATTCTGGCAGAGGTTTGTCCCCATCAGCCCAGCAGGTGCAAGGCCAGTTCCAGAACTCCCTGTGCTCCCGAGCAGCAAGCCAGGCTGGGGGAGATCCAGCAGGACCCAGTGCAGAACCTACACTGCTCTATCCCAAACTTTTCCAGGCTCCTGCTGACAGTCATTCCCTTGGATGCAAACTGACAGAATCCTTGGCAGTTTAAGGAAACTATCTGGAGTCGTTATCTTAAATAGCTGGTGAACTCACAGCCTGCAGAGAATTAGATTTTTTCTAAATTTATCAAAGTGTGGTACCCAGGTAAAAAACAAATTACCCTGTGTTTTAACCACAGTGGCTTCAGAGAGGTCATGAAGAGGGATAACCTGAAGCTAGGAGAAGAAAGAAAGAAAGGAGAGGAAAATGGCAGGCTGGGAGGAAAGAGGTATTTTTTGTTATATGCAGAAACCAGTGTAACATGGAAAAGCCATTCCCACATGATACTTCATCGTGTTCTGCCCTATCTCCTGTGCCCAGCTCCTTCCCCACTCTTTATGGCTGCCAGCTGAGGATATGCCATTCCACATCACCTGGGATGTGTTGGCCCAAGCACTAGAGGGTGAGCCCACACCAGCTGTGGGGCTGGGGTGCACGGAGGGTACAAGGCTCCTGCAAAAGAGGGAGGAGAAAGGGGCTCTGCAATGAGCAAAAAGGAAACAAGCCTTGCTAGAGAAACAGGACAGCAGGAGCAAGGTGCATAACCACAGGATGGTGAAGCCAGGCTGAAAACCCTCAGGGTCAGAGAGACAGAGATTTGCAATTCACAGTGCTCTTCAAGAGAAAAAAGTCTTTTAAATAAGAACAGGTGACAGTCCTTGGGGCCAAATGTTTTATGAAGGCAGCTTTGTAAGTCTTTGGGTGAGCATTCCCCAGCCAAGCAGAATGGGTTTCCATCTGAGGCATCCCCAAGGACTGGGACAGCCAGGCCCATTCACAAAGAGGGATGAACACAGGAGTCTGAAAAATTGATCCACTGATGGCTTGTGCTTTGTTCAGCCATAAAATTTATTGAGCCAGGCAGCACAAGCAACAGTGCAAACTAATACAAGTCTTATTGTCACATTCCTTCACAGAGAATCTGTCCAGAACAATGTGATTCGTCTCACATAACGCAGCAATAATTCCCCTTGCAGACCAAGGAGATGCTGTGACCTGCAGTGTCACATGCTGCCCTTTTCAGCAGGGCTTGCTGTCACGGAGCTATGTGTGGAAGGAGAAGTAGGAAGCAAGGGTGGGAGGTTGTCAGTATTTAGCCTGACACAGGGACATCTTCCTCTAGAAACAGAAACATGCAATTTTTGTGCTAAAACTTTGACTGAAAAGAATCAGTTTTTGCAATGAAGTCTTCTCACTGTAAATGATTCTTAGCAGTACAGTGTTTATTACATTTCAAGGTACCAATATATTAGGCAGGAGTTAGGCTAACTACTAATCACAAACCTCTTGAGGATCTGTACTTATGTAGGTTGGCTGTGTCTGGTTATAAAGTCACTTTACCCATTAATTACTTCTGATTCCAACCTTTTAAATACAGTTTTTTGGATCTGATTCTTTTACATGTCTATAAACAAGGACTGAAAATCTTAGTTAATAAAGTGAATTTCAAATATACCTATACTATCTTATTTTGACTCAGCAGTGTGCTACTTTGGTGCATATATGCAAGAGAAGCACAAGCCTTCCAAGCCTGAGGCCTTGTATGTCTGTGGTGGCTGGCACATAAAATTGCCAGTAGACTGGAAACTACTCCTTTGACTCAGATTGAACCCATAGAATGGTTAAAGCCTGCAAATGAAAGACCAGTTCCACTGCAGACTCCAGTACAGACTTCTGGCTACTTTTTCTTTGCTTCCTTTCCATCCTGCTTGAAATAAATGTTGTAATAGTCAAAATTCCTGAGTGAGGATGATGTAAGGTTTGGCAAAACAGATCTCTAGAAATACTTTATACACAAATATTGATCAGCTTCTTAGCTTCCTTACAGTGAAGAGTATGTCACTCCACAGGAAATGTCACTTAAAGAGACAGATATTGTTCAATAAAAGCTTTTTCTTTTTTTCTTAATACACTCCTAAAATTTCAGTGACAATTCAGAAACTCTATAAATCAATATTCTTAGTTCTAAGCTTTCAAGATCCACAACAGGCTGAAATGTATATCTAAAAGTACACAAAACAGGACACATCATCACCATGACCAGCTGCCAGGCTCACAGTGCCTCCAAGGAGGCTGTTTCCACTTTACAATATAATCTTGGAATTCCTCAACTGAGGATTACTTTATTTTGGTAGCATTAGTAGGAGCACTTCACTAATTACCCAGAGATCTCTGATAAAAGTGACCCATGTCCCAAGGAACTGGTGAGGTAACATCTTTATTTCACTGTAGTCCTTGTTTCAGAACATATGAAAGCAAAGTGGTTTGTTTTGCACACACAGCTGGTAGTAAGTCAGCAGCTTGATCCAAGTCTCTTGAATTTTTAGACTTGGACTTTTCTCAAGCATGTTTGAGTTCATCTGTGGTAAGGAAGGAATATGGGTTTCTTCAAAAGGAACATCAGAGGCACATGCAGTTCTAGGGAAAAGCCTCTGCCATGGTTTACTGGAAATGTAAATACCTTCCTAAATGCCCACCTGATCATGCTGCCTTCCTTGCACTTGGTATAAATATAACCCTCTTCATATGCTAATGAACACATGCAATTTCCTGCCATCCCCACCTTGTGCTTATTCCTCTCTCAGCCTGTATCTACATTAATTTTACCACATACTTGCACACAAGAGGAGGACTTTTTTTCTCAGAAAGTTAACCAACAAACATGGTTTACTTTACCCTAGGTCTGGTCTTCACATCCACAGCTGATATTCTGGGAGCCACTGCCTTGTACAGAAGCAAAATGCCACAGGACAGCAGCAGGGCTGTGCAAGAAGCAGCTCCACCATCTGCTCAACAGTGTCTTCAGGCTCTAGTTGATGCTGGGATGTGAAACCCCAGCTGTGGACAGAGGCAAAGAGATGGAACAGGGCAAGCTCAGAAGAAACAGAGCATAGGGAAATGCTAGCATGAAAGGGCCATGAGTTTGGGGTCATTAGAGGTGATGGTAAAAAAGTCATCAAGCTGGGTGAATTTTGGGTGCATTTTGAAAGATGGAGAAGAAAAGGAAAAGGATAAAAAAGCTGCCTAAC